AATGAAAAGGGAGAGAAATAAGTAGAACCAATCACTACCTCTCAAGCCCAGCAGATTGCTGGAAGAGCCAGAAAATTCATCTGAAAATTTAAGGGATTACAACAATGAATCATGAAGATCTTAAATTATTAAAGATTTTGACAAGGCCTGTGCAACGGATAAGGCACAGTTGGTTTTCATCCAACCGCTGAACAGATTTCTCATCGATTTTTCTATCAACTTGTCACAAGGTGATGGGCAGTATCTTGTCTACAATATGGATGATTTTAAATGTTCCATAGAACTCAGTGCTGGGACTGGCCCAGACTGACCCTGAGACACCGAGGCAAACCACAAAAAGCGTGCAGCAGAGCAACCGTGGGAGCAGAGCAGGGAGCCCCCGAGGGAGTACAAAGGACTCTGGGGTCAGAGCATGGTACTCCATCGGTCCTGACTGAAGGACATGCCAAGAGATCAAAAATCAGACCTTAATCTATTTACAGGTTTTTTCTTCTGTTTAAAAATTTTTCTAATTAATTCATTCTTCTATGGGTAAAAAGAAAAAAAAAAAGTTCCATAGAATAGATCCAGCATATTCCATTAAGTCTCCTGGAGCGGTATGTTTTCTGCAGATTCAATTAATAATAAGCAACTGTTAGTTTGCCCTTGTTACAGGAAACCTGGTGTGTAGTAATTATGTGTTGAGCTACCATCCACGTGATCTGAAGTTTGAAACCAGCAGCAGCTCCTCTGGACAAAGACTGGGCTTTCTACTCCGGAACACAATTACAGTCTCGGAAACCCACAGGGGTAACTCGGAGTCAGCATGGACTCGATGTCAGTGAGTTTGGTTTTTGGAGTTCATTGTAACAGCCAGGTAGTTTAGCAGCGACGAGTCCCTGACTTCTCCATGGTTACACCAGTAAATTAAATGGCCATTACGTCCACTTAAAACAATAAAGATCTCTTTGATCTTGAAGCTATCTGTGATGTCTTGGATCTCTACCTATGGCTAAGACTTGTAGATGTCTCCAGATACAAGCCTTATTTGAGATCTCCAAAGAGAACCACAAGTCATTATCCAAATCTGAAAGGCTTTACAGGCCTAAAATAAGCCATATCAATCCCAGAAAAATATTAAAATTCTTCACTATCAGTATTATAGTATTTTAATTATTTGTAATCTCATAACTTAGGAATTGATTCGGTGGCTGCCCCACAGGCTCAAACATAAGAAATTGTGTTGATGGCACCAGACCACAGTGTTTTGTTTTATGCAGTGTCCATAAAGGTTGAAACTGATGATGGCACCTAACAAACTGCTAATCCTTTGCTTCATAAATCACAATAAAAGAGATACATAATGATAAATGACCAATCATGCCACTTACTTCAGCCACCATTGATTGGCAATAGCCATCTGTTAAGGGAAAAGTATTTGGCTGTGTTGCCTCCTTGTTTTCCACCGATAAACTCATGTGATATTTTATAGAAATGGAGTCTGAACAGGGAATTGGTCAACAAAGATTAAAGTGCAGCAAAGAAAAAACGATAATGCTGGATATGATATTCATCATCGATTTTGGTATCGAAGCAATAGCTGACCGTGGGAATAGTGACAGACGTTTGGATAAGCAGAAGAGCTTGATAAAAACGAATATATTGACATGAATGAGGAAATGGTTGTGACAACAAGGTTGATGTTCCAGCGGCAAAAACCAAAACAACACATTGAAGAAAATCTCAGCAATACTTCACAGCACTGAAAGCACAAAGGATCAACTATTTGAAGTGAATTCCAATATAGAACATGACAACTCATGATGGCATAGAAAGTGTGTGTTCTACACTGTTACCTGTGAAGGCAGTCACTACTTAAATGACCACTGATGAGCTTAAAAGATACAGGGTATTTTACTTCTCCATGTTTCCAATATTCTAAATGACAAGTATCAGTTTTTTACTTTTATATCCGACATTATGTTTGGATATCTTGGGCCCTCCACCCCGCAACATAAAAATGATAAAACAATTGGAATTATCCACCACCACCCCCCTTTAGTGTTATGTATTAAATGATATCCTCACCAAAACATTTGTTAAAATACTAAACCTTGTACCTTATACTTGTAAATACAGCGGTTTTAAAATAATGGTTTTTCTTTAACACTAATGAACTCGTATCCATGAGGGTTGGTCCTATACCTAATTCACTTGAGTTTTAACAATACTAGAAAAGACTGATGCATCTAAAGTCCAAGAAAATCAAAGGTGGCTAGCAGACACTAGCAGTTGAAATAGATAAACTGAGTCCCCTTCTCCACCATATCCTGCATTTGGACTTCTGGTTTCTTGAAATGTTAAGAAATAAATGTTCATAAAAGTCACCCACTTTTGATATTTGTTTTAGTCATACTAGGTAGCTAAGATAATTCTTAAGACTATTCTGCATGTTTTCGGGTCCCATGGTAATTTTTTTTTTTTTTTGCCACACACTACTGTTTTAAATGACATCAGTCTTTAATCATTTCTTGGATGTTGGGGTAATCATTAGACTTAACACATTTAATGAGTTAGATCCTGATTCAAGTAAATAAGCAGTAAAAGATTGCAAATTTGAACATTACCAGCTACAAGGGGGCCTCTGACAGCTTGTGGGAAAATGGGATTAATATGGCTTCAAAATAATATGATTGTTGGAGATGGCATAAGTTGATAATTATAAAAGCTGATGACAGACGTGTTGGTTCACTTTACTACCCTGTGTATATTTGACATTTTCCTTCATAAAAGTTAAAAAATCAAAATAAAAGGACCGGGAAAGAAAGTCAAAAATAGCTCTCAGAAATCATAATGAAGAGAACCTATGAGAAAGGTCAGCAACAGCCAGGAGCTTCAGACGGGATAGCCTCCAATCAACAGGACTCTCCAGTAACAAATGGATGGCAGGGCAAACAAGGGAAGTTTTGATCCTTCACAGGGATGCCGTCACATCCTGTCTACTTGTTGGCATAGAAATGAGCATAACCACCTACGGGACAATTTGATAGTCTCTTACAATTTACACTTCCCATGTCCTATGACAGGATGTTTATCTAACCCAGAAAATCAACTAAAATTCAGAAAATCTCCTTCAAGGAACATAGCCCATGTAGTTGATTAGCAGACATTTAAAAAGTGGTTTTGTTGAAACCATTGCTTTTAATAGCAAAACTGGAAATATCCACAAGTTCAAGGAATCGTGTATGAAGTGCAGTGGGATACTCCAAAAGAATTTTGTCAATTAAAAAAATCCAATGAGCTTACAGAACAATGTTTACTATTCTCATTTATATTATTTAAAGTTACATTAAGAGGGACCTTTGAAAAGGTCATGGAAAAATTCTATTATCTTCTAATTCCATTTTCCTACATTTTGAAGTCCCTTATCTACAAATTTAACAGAGGTTTTGTCTTTGTCCTGTAAATACAATGAATATAGGAGACAAAGTTATGAGAACTTCAGACATAACCTTTTACCTTGAAGGAACTTGTTACTGGGAATGGAGTGTTTGGACCACAGTCCCAAGGGCCACGAGGGCCACCAAACCCTCATCCTACTTTAGTAAGTACCACTTACAGTCTTGTAAGTTTTTGAGTAGCCATGTAAGGTGCAAATACTTCATCTGTAGGAAAAAAATCAGATGCAAAGAATCAGCTACTCCAATGGCCCAAAGGAACCCATTTCTGACAGTGAAATCAGAGTATCTAAACAGTGATGTTACCATTGCTGACCACTGTGAAGACAAATGGCCCCTATACATA